CTACAGTTTAACTTCAATTACTAACATTATAATATACAATCACTAAAAAAAAGAAAAAAACCAGTATCTAATAATGTTCAAGGCAGAAAAGTGACACACTGGAATACTTCAACTCACCCTCTTCAAATTCAATTATCCATATTTCATATATATACAAGATTTTCTTAATTTTTGTACCACCAAGAAAAAAAGGAGACAGCAAAGTTTTCAGGCTTTTTATTCATAAAAGTAAATATTATACCTCGAAATTCACAACTAAAAATATCTATATTCACATTCAAACTCATCAGAAGAGACATACATATACTACAGATTTGCACAGAAGTATTGAACTATACTATTCAGTGAGAAATTCAACAGAAGAAACTTCAAATTTTTTTGGACAAATTTATCGTTAATTATATATTAGATGCATGTATTTTAATTCATGTACTAAAATTAACAGTATAAATCCATAATAATACAATGTGTAAACTCAATCACAGCTCATAACATTAATGTCACGTTAGTTGCGAATTTTGATAGTAATAATGAAAATTAATCTCTTCATGATGAGTACAAAATTTATATTAAAAAGTAATATATTACTGACAGAATTTAATGTACACTGATTAAATAATTAGACTATTGATGAATACTATTATGCGAAGGTTTAGCATTATACTAATTGTCATTAGTTAATATAACATTAATATATATGTTGTATAATTATTTTATTTATTTTTTTATATGTAAGTTACACAAGGTTCATAAATATTTTGATAAATTTGTCCAGTTCTGAAAGTAATATGTTCTATAATACACGAAATGTAAACAAATGCACTCAAGACAGAGAAAGAGCTACCTGGTCAACTTTGAGTATTTCACAGATGAAATTAGTAATCATCGAGGTCAACATCATCAAGAGGCTCATCAGCCTGCAGTGACTGGAAGTCAACCTTGTAACGTAGGATTCCTATGCATCAAGATATACTCCATAATTAAAACTCATATTTTTAACTTTTCTCTAATACCATTTACTTTTCATATATATATGAATTTACATCTTGACAAAGACCACTTTTGTTTATCGTAATAAAAATATGCAATAAATGTTTAAGAATGTTTTAAAAGATTTGTTATATATACACAAACTTATATCCTTTGCTCTTACTGATTAATCAAAATGGAATCAGCCGCTTTTCTGTTAGTATACACTTCGAGTGGATGAATACAAATTATTATTTCATAAGTATATTACTTTCAGTTGAGTTAAAGTTAGTAAGTAAGAAGTAAACTACGAAAGAAGTAAACTTACCGCCAATACCTCCGAAACCTCTTACGAACTGAGAGCCTTCTTGAGATTTATCTGTAATAATTTCCAAAGTGGCACCAAAACTCTTGTAGTTATTTGCTAACCATTCAAGTAAAGGCTGACATTCTACAAGTTCCAATTCTACTCCACTCTAAACATAACATGAAAATACTCAATGTTAATTACTTGCATTTATTTAAATAATTTTAACCATAAAATGATCAATATTACTTAATTTACCTCTTTGTCAGTAAAATGAGTTTTATCTTTTTCTTGTTCTGGCGTCAGGTGTAAAACCTTCTCTTCTGCATTCGTATGATTCTTTAAAACGTATCGTTGAATATCTAAATTTTCCCAACAAATAAGGGTTTCTACACTGCCTAATTCTAATGCTCTTAAAGTATCTTCTACGCCGAAACAATATTTTCCAGTATCTTGTGAGATTTCGTCAAAGTAACGACCTACACGAAGTAATATGATATAGTATTAATTTTAAGATAGTTTTAAAATAAATTAGTAATGTCATCTTTTCTTCTACAAGCTTGGTAAAAATATTTTACAGAAGATATTACCAACCTATTAATTTTTTTTCCTGAATAAACTTCACATTTTGCAAAGATTCAGCAGCTAATTCAATAGCTTGATTAAAACCATTCTCTCCACCATATGAAACATCTACCAACTTTATAACTTTCGCTTGTAATCTCTAAGATAATAAAAATATGCAAAATTATTTTTATAAATTTAATTACATATACAGATGTTTATATTATCAAATTATATGAACTTACAGGATCAAACATGTCCGACTGACTAAGTTCGGTTTTAAAGTCAGCACTGCCCGCTAATATCAAACCAGCAATATTAGGTTTGTCATTAGTAATATATAATTGGGTAGCTACTTCTGCAACTTTTCGAACATAATTATGTCGTTTTTCCATACGCAACCGAGCAAAACGAAGTGCTGACTGTCCTCCTCTGCCTAAAAATTAGGTTAGATGATCAAGTGAAGTAGATATGACTTTTAAATAAATATATTTATATTTCAATAAATATATTCTTAATTATTCATAAAATATTATCTCATACTGATTATTTACGTACCATGCTTTTTGGGGAGATCTACTGTAAATTTATGTAGAACTTCACGAGTGTTGCCTTGCAACGTACCAAACAATGCTCCATTACCATCCATTACAATGAAACCAAATTTATTATCATCAGCAAGTAATGCTGTAAGTGCTTCAGTGTGAAACTAAAATACATCAGGTGGCATTTTATCTTATTTGACTCGGCTGACAAATATTCTTGTTTAAAGTTACAAAATATAAACTACCTTATTATCACAAAGATAAAGAGAAGTATTAATAGGCTTAAAGGGTTCAAAATCAATGTTAACTTTCTTTTCTTTGCCTTCTTCAGTTACTATGGTACCACAATATATTACCAGGCCATTTGGAGGCACTAAAATAACAAGGTACAATTTATATTACTAAAACATATAACAAATATATACAATTAATAGGAGACATTAATAAGAATTCAAAATCTTAAACTTCAAGCAACAGAACAAATTAACAAACAAGTTTGATATTTGTATAATTTTACAAAATACAAAAAAAAAGTTGTAAAAAATTTCAATAAACTATCTTTTATATTACCTTTTGTATATAACTTTAGCCTATGTTGTACGGATGTAATTGCACCCAAAACAGATAGTCTATTTACACGAGATTTAATATTTGATGCCGTTCCAAATTCATCTGCTAACATTTTGCTCACTCTTGATATTTGATCTTTTGGAGGAATAATTAATGAAATCATACTAGTCCCATTCCTGTAAAAAATAAGACAAGTATATATTATAAACAATGCTATATTGTAAAACTGCAGAGATTATATTAATAAAATTTATATTTTTTAAACACGGTAAAATTAACCGGTGACAAAACATCGGAGATATACGCTGAGATTTTTCGGAGTCTCTGGCAATTCGAGAGGAACTTTTTCGTAGAATCACGTGAAACTCATTTTACCAATAGGAACGAGAGAGGTCCGTTACTTCCTACTTACCACATGCTCTTTAAAGCATATGTGCAGATAGAAAATCGAACAGCTGATAAGAAAAGGCGCGGCAATATTAATTTCGGCCTACTTACCCCCTCGCCATTTCAAGGCTTTTTATAAGTTTCTTAATTTTCCAGATTTCGACATTGCGGTCGGCGGAAGTCTCCTCGTTGGACATTGCTGCGCGTTGTGTCGCGTGGTCGCGGCTCACGAGTTTCAGCTAAATTAATCGTTTATCACCAACGGGACGAAGCCTGGGAAGGTGGTCCACGTCGACGTGAAAGCCGGATCGAAGAATTTTTCTCTGAAATGAACGATCAATCCGTTTATCGATGAATCTGCCTCAATCCAGTTTATACCGGATTATGTCAGAGAGAACGTGTTCGACAAAGAATTACTGTTCTACTCGTGCAAACGATGAACCATCGTTTACCACGTTTTTCACTCACTCTGAGACCAGTATGTTGATGTTTTTGCCACAAGTGTTACGTTTTAAATGTGATACTTGTGACAGAGCGGGTACCACGCGAAAGTGAACCTCAGAATGCACACGTCGGCCATGCGATGGCACAGCGAAACGTCAGTACTTCGGTGGACGTACTGTACGGTACAAAATGGAAAGCAAAAAGACTGTAGAGTTGGTGCGCGAGCAGCGCCCCGAGGCCGCTTGATCGTTTTCAGGCGCAGTCGCATTTGCATCGCTACACTAGCGATACTCTATGTCGCTTAATGCTTCGTCCGCAGTCATTTGCAAATCTCATCCCTAATCTCGCTATTTTCTTCTATCTATCTTTCTATCTATCTAATTTTCGATACATAAAATTGCACGATAACTGATTTAACCGATCGTCGATTTGTATACCTCGTATATCTACGAATCACAATCAAGGACTGGTGTATAAGAAAAATTGTAAATCTTTAAGCAGAAGTTCAGCTTATAGCTCAAAAAATAGTATTTTTATTAATTCGAGTTTTCGATGAAATATTGACAATTTACTTATCTTCTTTTCCTTATTTTATTCATATCAATGCTATTGTTCTCTCCCTCCGTTTCGCATTACGTGTTACATTTGAAATTTGAAAATGTTCATACTGCTTACTAGTATTTTTGGTTACCGATGATTTTAGCTATCGTTCTATTGGCCGTGAACATTAAGCAATTAACTTATGAAATCTTGCTTCTTAGTAATGTAACAGTCATGAATCATTTTTTTTAGGACTCGATATTTGTTGCACGTGTCTATAAATAAGTAATACTTAACAGATAATTATGTTAATAATTACTGGGAAATAATGGTACGGTTGCAAAGTAATTAAACATTGCCGATCTTGATTACTTTTGGTGTACATACATATGCATACATATATTTTTAAATATATTTCGAAACATCAGCATTTTACATGTATACTTACGTTCTTGATAAAGTAAAATATTTTTTACAATGAAATTACAAACTTATAAAAAATATATAGAATATTTAAAATCAACTGGAATTTGTATTGTTATGGTTGGGTTAGTTTTACTTATTATATTTTTCTTTTCTTTTTTCAAATTATTAACTTAATGATGTATTAATTGATTTATATTTTTCATGTAGAGGTTGTTGGTTTTTGTATCAGCTGCGACAAGTATCGCAAATTTTACAATCCTCTGTACCTACCAATGTTTTAAGCAAAGAGCAACCCCATACCCAATATATTTATATTGATGATCCTAGATTCAAAGGTATTTATCATTAGCTTACAATGGTTTATCAAGTTTCAAATATTTATTACTTTTGTTCTCATAATTCTAGATGTTCTCATGTTAAGAAAAATTGAAAATTTACAATCATCAGTGCCAGTGGAGTCATTTTCATTTGCTCATATCATAATGAAATGGTGGAAATCATTAACCCGTAACGTGGCATATAAATTATTAAATATCGCACAAACTGGCAATGATACAGAACGTTTGAAAGCTCTCTATACTCTTACTTCTCTAAAGCATTTAAAAGGTATTTTTCTTCTATATGCTATTTATCAGTTTTCCACATAGGTATTTTTAATTCAAAATTTATAGATTGGCATTATCAGCATATTGCACAAATGTTAGATGCTAAAACTGCCGTGTCTCTTGCAAGAATGCCAAATGTTGATTTAAGATTTTTTCTACAACCACCGTATCATCATGTACAATATAAATTACACGTATGTATAATATTATATTTATTATAGTTACATTTATTCAACAAGTTTGTTAAGTTTAATCAGATTGTGTTTTTTTTTCAGGATGTAATAGAAAAAGTACACCAGTTGCTCCTTTATTTAAGTACGTTATGTGAAAATACTCATCCATGTCTTGTTCAATTCCTTAATAAAAACTTTAAAGATACACCTTCTGTAAGTATATATTGCTTGAAATTTTTCAAATTTCTGTCATATAAATTACTTTGTGCGCATTTTAATTATTTAAGTCAGGAACTATTTAAAAAAACAGGATAATTTGATACTTGATCACGACTTAACAAACTTAGGGCTGGCTGTAGCACCAGCCATAGTATGGGATCGAGAATTATTAAAGAATTGTGTTCAAGCACTATGCCACCATTCTTGTCTTGAACAATATAGCAAAGGTAAAGTAAAACATTTAGTAATTAAAAATATTTTTATCAAATCTTTTTTTGTTTTTAGATATTATTGATGCTGGTGGTCTTCCATTATTAATGATAATAAAAAAAATTTTCAATGACAACGTTAACATATGTATATTACTTGCAAAAATTATTTCTAATATTTCACTTCACTCAATGTATTTGCAAGATATTTTTCAATCAGGTATATTTAATAAATTCTAATTTTGGAATTTTTAAAATATTGTATAATAATCTCAGTTTCGTCTAAAGGTTGGATTGGTACATTGGTAGAATGGTCTCAAAGTAGTGATATAAGATTATCAGTACCAGCCAGTCGGGCATTGGCAAATTTAGATATGGATGAGAATGATAAATATCCAAGACGTATTTATCTTCTTCATCCTTTGCACAAAAATATGGCAAGCACAAAGTTAGATGTTGTTTTCTTACACGGACTACTTGGTGGAGTGTTTGTAACATGGCGACAAAGAGATCCAGATACATCTGAAGTTGGGTTTGTAGGTTTGTTAGTATTATTAATAATAATTTAATGTATCATGTATGAAACATAAGATTAATTGCTATTATTTTACTTGTAGATCCCTATATTATACAAGATGGGATCAATTTTTCAAGTTTGATAGATGATCAGTCTCATGAATTTTTGAAAGATTTAGCTTATGATTTGAGGAAGCGTGAGTGGGACAGAGTAGGCCAAGACTTTGAAGTAATTTTGGACGATTGTCCTCAAAATACTAATACTAGAGGAACTGGACCATTTTTCTGTAAAGGGTATGATTTTTATTTTGTTAAAAAATGTTTATACTGTATACATATATATATATATATATACGTTTTTAGAAATGATGTATGTATGAAGAAAATGTATCATGATAGACAACATAAAACACAATGTTGGCCTAAAGATTGGTTACCACAGGATATTCCACATATCCGAGTTATTGCGGTAAATTATGATACTAATTTGTCACTATGGACACATTCATGTCCAATAGACGGCAGAAAGTAAATAACATCATTAATATTATTACTTTATTTGTTTATTAAAAATTTATAATTCATATTTATCATTTATTAATTAGAAGTACTATGGGTGAAAGAAGTAAAGAATATATAAAAAAATTGTTAATTGCGGGTGTTGGAAAACGATCAACGATTTGGGTTTGTCATTCAATGGGTGGTTTATTAGTAAAAAGAATGCTTGTGGATGGTTAGTTTTTCATATTTCAGCATAAAATATTTGTTTGTAAGTCTATGTATTCATATATGTAATTATTCGTTTCATAGAGTGGAAAACTGGAGATCAGAATGATATATGTAAAAATACACGTGGTATAATATTTTATAGTACTCCACATCGAGGTTCTCGCGTGGCAGCATTAAAACAAGCAACACAAATGGTAGTGTGGCCATCGATCGAAGTACAGGAACTTCGAGAAGGTATATTAAAAGTGTATAATACTAATTAAAAAATATAATTAATTACATTTATATAAACAATATGGTTTATGTTTAGAGTCACCACAATTATTAAAATTACACAATGAATTCCTCGATATGTTGAAAGAACATCCCATAGAGATTATTAGTTTTAGTGAAACTAAATCTACCCATGTGACACCGTTAAATGTGCCATTTCAGTTTGTTACTTCTAATTCAGCAGGTACGATAAAATAAGAATTATTTTATACAATATTATTCATCTCTTAACAAAAATTATAATATTTATTTTTAGATCCTGGAGTTGGTGAATTCTATGAAATTGCACAAGATCACTTGTCCATATGTAAGCCAGCTAGCAGGTAATAATCCAGATTTTTTATTTAATACTTATCGAAGTTAAAAAAATTAATTATTTGTACATTTGCTTTATAGACATTCCTTCTTATATCAAAAACTTTTGTGCGTTTTAAAACGTCACGTAACTCAGGAGAAAACAACTATTTCTCCAATTATGGAATTGCTATCATTGCCAAGTAAATTATTATAAGTCTGTATATATTTCCAAATTATGATATTATGAAGATATATTATTTTACCACTATCAAAAAGTTTATTTTTGTATACTATTATTAACTTTCGGATGGCGGATGCTCCACCTAGTAACGTAGGCCGAAGGTTAATTACGCAATAAGAGAAGGAAACAAATAAGGCTAACAAATTCGTCTTTCTCTCTTTTTAATCATAATAACGATGAGTTCAATTTAGAGTAAACATATTTATATTACAAAAATATCAAGTATTTCTTACTTATTTAACGCCATTGATCAGTTGTTTCTTTGACTAGAATGAACAATAAAATTTTTGTAATAAAATCAATGAACGACTGATAAAAAAAATAATTAAATCGATCTATGACAGTTTTCTGAAGTTGAATACAAGATGCTGATCGATTAATATAAGATAGTTTATCATAAATAAAATTGCAGTGAGTTTTAAATGTACAGAGAAAATCTTATATAAAGTATAGCATAAGCACAATGTAAGGCACTGAATAAATTAAATAAAAGTGAAATTGATAGAAATTTTATTTTATTACCGTAAATTTTTTTAGAAATTTGTATCGTAATCAGGATGATGATGACTTGATAAATTTGTTGTACTATCATAACCGCCGTATTTACTGCTACTATGAGACCCGTTGTAATAATAACCATTCCATTCCGATCTCCAACTATCGTACATGTTATATTTCTTATTGTCTTGAAAAGATTTTTCAACAAGGATCTAGAGATTAAAAATAAAATGTATATAACTTGGAATCATTTCGTAGATGCAAACGACTCCAAATATAAAACCATTTTCAAATTCTACCTTATTGGAAGTTGATTCGAAAGACTTCTCATTCCACGAAACGTCTGGATCAGTCCAAATCGTGTGTACCGGCTTTGAATAATCACTAGATCTGTGAGCCGATATATTCTTTGCTACTTCCTCTTCGTAAATTGTAGATACAGATGGTTTCAATTTTGAACCATTATGGCGATTCACTAACTAGACATTAAATACAAAGATAAATATTAGTTTTACATTGACATTAGTGTAACTTTTGTTTTAATACTTACAACAGAGACACCGAATATAATGATAAAAAGTAATCCACCAACACCAATTACGATCACAGCAATTGCCCATTGTGGAACTAATCTATCGTCTTCTTCAATATATTGAGGGGTAGTTACTTTAGGTATCACTGAAAGGGAATTATTTTTAATCCAAATGTTCAAGGTACTAATTTTACGAGACAAATACTTGTCAATATATTGTGACATACCTACAAAATCCGTATATTTCGGATCGATCGTAAACGATCCAAGTTTTATCGAACCTGCCGTTTTGGTCTCATTCCATCTGTTTGCATTGTATGTCCGTAACGAATCGTGAAAAATGACTTTCAACTCTTGTGTATTGATCTTTTGCTGCAAGTTGGCCAATTCGACAAAATAATCTACTAAAATACTGCCCTCGCTGAAATTTATAAATGTATCTCTCACTGAGTAAGAAGTCAGCCTTTCAACAATAATTGAAAAAAAATTATCTACATTATTACCTGAATGAGTCAATTCTTATCTTTTTATACCATTTTGCTAAGACAGCAGATTTAGAGAATATGAAGTTCATCTATCAAAAAATGAATGGAAATGTTGTCGAATTATATAAGACTAAAGTACTTCTTAATTTATAAGATCCATGCGAATACCTCTTGTTCAATTTCGTTGGCAAGTTTCTGCCATTCTTGGGTATTTCGATCGAGCAATTCCGGTAGCCAGCTTGCATTACCAATTATCTTTATCGTTCCAGCGACTTCGCAGTCCTGTTCACAAATTCCTGGTGTAGTTGGTCTAGGCGTTGTCGTTGTGGTTGACGTCGTGGTGGTGCTCGATGTCACCTCGGTTATCGGGATAAGCGACGCGGACGAAATCGTCGCGGTCCGAGCAGCTTCTAGTATCTTTTCTATCGAGATTGGAGTAGTCGACGAACTAGGCCATCCGGTGAATTCTGTGGTAGCTCTGCAAACATCGAATCGACTTAATTTCAATTTGAATTGCATATTTTCAAGTAACTTTTAAATTTTAACGCGTTCTGTGCCGTATGTACCACCGGTGGTACACGTTAAACTTGATCTTCAGGCCACGTGTACCACCATT